TTACTTTGTGATGCAATAACCTCCTCCTGTCTTTCAGTGGTCTCAAGCAATCCATTATGCGCTTGTACTCTTTCACCCAACAGTCAATCTGATCTTGAGCACCTTGTACAAGCTTTTTCAAAGAATATTTGGGATTTTAGATATAACAACTGCTACTGCATTTTATCAACTTACTCCATTGTAGACAGCATCAGAACAGCGTTGAGCCTCATCAGCCTCCTCAGTAGCCTGCTGCAAGATCTTTCTCAGCAATTTGAGTTCCAAGGATACTTTGGATCTCTCACACCACACTTCTTTGGTCAACAAATGAATGTAGTTTATCTTGGTATCATTGGGGATCCCATAAATGGCAGCTCCCTGTATTGGGGAAATGATAGTGTAACCAGTTCATACCTCTTCATAATGCAAGAAAAGACCCCCATGAACCAGAAATGGTTCATGGGGGAAAAAGTGCATTATTGCATAACAAATTTTCTTCACATTGCATGAATTTCAGCAAGTTTTAGATTTGAACTTGGGAAATTCAATTTTCAAATCAAGTCACACTTTGAAAAATAGCAAAATAAAGAGCACCAATCATTCCTTAAATAATTACAGAAGGTTGAAATCTCCAAATTTCCAAGATTATTTCACAAGTTTAGTGATTATCTGGAGCAGTTCAAATGTGTTACTTTATTAACTTAAGGAAAATCATGGTTCAAATATAAACTATACTTTGCACAACAAATTTCATCCTTAAAAAGTACAGTCAACCCCCATCTAACGGACTTGATTCGTGCAAGGGACGAGTCTGTTAGATGAAAAGTCCTTTACACAAATTCAATTACATAAAAAATTAAAAATTTCAATTTTCAACACTAATTTTAAACCAAAAGAAGTCTGTTTGGCAGATTTTGTCTGTTGGGCAGGAGGAGAAACTGCTTGCAGAGCTGGTCTGTTTGGCAAAAATCCCTTACACAGGAGGTCTGTTAGGCGGGAGGCCACTGTAGTTTGATTATGAGGAGACCCACTATTAATCTAGCAACAATAATCCTAGAATTGCAATGAAAGACTTGTGAAATGTTCAAAGCGGAGTTCATGCTAGCATGTCTTAAAAATATTAGAAAAATAAAGTAACAACTTATTCTCAGGGTATAAAAATGTATGCCTGGTTTAAAGGAAACTAATATAGAAACCTTCTCTTCTAAGGCACATCTGATGTCAACCACAGCCTTATGCTCCACTTCATCCATAATCTTTCCAAAAGTGCACAAGGCAATTCTGTCAGAGTTTGGTTCTGGTCCCAACTTTGCATTGTCCAAAAACTCTTGCACATTGTCAGGAAGCTATGAATTAAAGATTAATTTTCTTGTTAATCTTGAAACCACTCATGGGGTATTTTGTTTCACACCTCAAGTGGAGACCTGGAAATGGTCTTGGGTTTAGAAACAGATGGTGTTCCAGGCTGTTCTCCCCTCCTCCAATTTCTATGATTGTTCAAGAACTGTTCCATAAAGTCCTTCTGCCAAGCCTGGATTCCTTCCACACCAACACACATTTTCTTTCCATCTGGTTGAGGGCCCTGGAATAAAATCCAATGATCACAAACACATCAAATAAGGTGAGAATCATGTTTCTCACACAATCTGGTTTGGCAAGTGGAGTGCAAGGCATGTCCAGAGACTTGTCTGCTGGTTCTGGAGGTACTTGGCAGTCTTCAATAACACATGGTTTAGAGCTTGGTGGACATGAAGGCCTGGGATTTGGACATGGGGCACTAGCTTTTTGTGGCTTATTAGCACAAAGGCCTTCAAGTCTGCGCCTGGCTGCACATGCTGCCTCCAACCTGGCCTATATAAAACCCCCCAAATACATCCCAAACATGAAAACAATGGTATGATATTAGGTAAGAGAAGAGAACCTGTTGGATGTCCTTGGGATTGCAGACCTCAGGCCTGAGTCTCTTGTGTGGTGGACACTTGCAGGGATTCATCTTTGGACACTTCCCACATGTTTTAGACTTTGGGGGACATGATGGTGGACAAGGAGGTGGGGGACAGCATGGTGGAGGTGGACATGGTGGTGGTGGTGGACAAGGTGGTGGTGGACATGGCTTAGGACAAGGGTCCACTGGTGCTGGACAAGATGGTTTAGGTTTTGGTTTGGATGAACACTGTTTCTTCTTTTTCTTGGCCTCTGGGCATGCTGGTGGATCAGGGCAGAGTTTCTTGAGTTCTGGGGGTGCATCTGGGCATCTGGGTGAACAGTCCACAGGAGGTGAACCATCACACTTTCCTCCATGCTTCCTGAGGCTTTCATCACTGTTATAATGAAAGGAAACATTACATTAGGATTGGCTGAAGAACAATGTGAATGATATGGAGATACAATACAGGTGGTTCCCAAGTCCCAACAAATTAACCCCAAATCCGGGTTCAATTGTGAAGTCGTTAAATTGCACTAAAACTTGAAATTCCAAGTTTTCTACATTGAATTAGACATTTTGAATATTACTGTCAGTCAAAATGCAGGGAAGAGTATTTATTATCACAGGAAAATTTCATCATCAAATTGTGGGATGAAAGACAAATTTTGGGTTGTCAAATTGATGAACATATCATCCAAAGCTCACCAACTTTAATGAAATTGAGGTGATGGTATAAATATAAATTACTTAAGCTGAGAAACAAATTTGTATGAACATTATCAATCTGTTACTGGTTACTTCAAGCATTCAAAATACCGTAAACTCAACCCCTTGCACTTAATTTGCACTTAATGGGCTTAATTTGTGCAACAGACTATAGTTTGTTATGCAGGAAGTCTGTTGTGCAAATTCAATTGTTAAAAATTAACATTTTTACTTTTTGCCATCAATTTTAAACCAACATAAGTCCATTATGCAGATTTAGTCCATCCCACAGGAGGAAAAATGTGCTGTGCAAAAATCCATTGAGCAGGAGGTCCTCTGTGCAGGGGTTGACTTTATTTACCTTTAATAGCCTTGAAACTAATTTACCATACCCAAGTATTGTACTGAAGTACCTAACCTTTGCAAAAACCATATGGAGATTTCATTTTTTGCCTCTTAGTTTAACAGATATGAAGTGAGAAAATGAAAATCTTACATACCTGCTGCCTATTTATCTTTGATACCAAAATTACTTATGAACTTCTTTGGACAACATTTTTTTCAAAAGTCTCAACCCTACTTTTTCCAAATCAATATGTTTCTGCTTTTCAATTGAAAGTGTTATGCACAAACCTCTGATTCAAAGCAGCATTAATGCCAGCAGGTTTGCTGGACACATCATAGATTTGTTCACCAGACTGCTGAGAAGATGGAGAATATGAACCTTCATAGCTTTGATCTTGACTAGATAACTTTGCTGGAAAGTTGGCATTGGTCCAAGAATCCAGAGCTTCATTCTGGTTTCCAGATTCTTCAGTTGATTCCTCCACCATCTTGCTGCTGCTTTGAGATGCCCTCAAAATACTTTCCTACCAAAATTACAGTTCCTTGTCAAAAAATCATTGGTGATATTGGTATTTTAATCACCTGCTGAGCTGATGATAGGTGAGCTGGTTTCTGTTTCCCCTGTAAAGATACATGAAAAGTGTTTTGTTAATTCTGGGGTTACAGTATTTAGATTGGCTCATGAAATTGCTTCAGTTAATTTATTCAGTTTTGTTAAGTTCATATATGGATTTCTTATTTTTGGACAGAAAAACATGACAGTTTTCTGGCTGGATCTTCATAAATCTTTGCTTGGAAAAGTTCTGGCAGTATACTTAATGAATGCATGTGGAACTTTGAAAACCCCAATTTTTGAAACAGTTTTCAATTTTCTCGAATTTTTAAATATTTATTGAGAATTTTCAGGAAAGTCTAGAGGTCTAGACTAATGATGACCACGAATTCAAGGTGTCCCTGGAATTTAAAATACAATGTCACTACAGCAAAACAAAACTGAAAAAATTTTATCCAAGTACTGTGAATGACTGGAGAAGATTATATACAGCACCAAAAGCAGTGACATCTACTTGATTCTTCAGGGACACAATTTCTGATACTCTGAGCCAGATGTCATACCTGATTTGGAGCCACTCTTTTCCCACCACCACCAGCAGTTTTCTCTTGATTCACTTCAGTACCTTTGAAATCCTGAAATTCAAAATTTTCATCACATCTTCACCTTATAATGAATCAAAATTTCCATTCTCACCTGCGCAATAGATTCAAATGAAGACCCTGAAGCATACCTGACCTTGGAACCTTTTTTGGGTGCATCAGAAAACTTGAATAAAATAAATACAATATGTTAGGCTCCACTTTGTTTGACTATGTCAACAATCATCAACAATTACCTGAGCCCAAGGGGTATTTGGACACCTTTCCCCAGACAAAGCAGCCAAAGGGCCTTCCTGAACTTCAGTGCTTTGGAAAACAAGTCTTGTCAACTTCTCTGTCAGTTTCACAGTTCCAGGTTCCCCCATGCTTAATGCCTAAGCTCAAAATAAACAACAACAAAAATCCTAACACACCAAACAATTACACATCAAGGGATTAATAAGGGGGACAGAAATTTCATGCCATAATTTTCATGGATGCTAACCTGGCTTTTTCCAGCACAGGTCAAATATTTCATTATCTCATGTACTGCTGGTCATGTGATAAAAAAATGTGAGAAAGTTGTTGAAAGTCTCCCAGAAAAAGTTCCTTTATTCAAGTCATGGATGAGAGTCTGTTGGGAATTTCCAAACAAAAGGCATTGAATGCAGGAAATACATTCATCCATTCCCCTATATACTTCTTTTGCCTTTTTTTTAATATTAGGAAATTTTTTGTTTTTTGCTTCCCTAACATAAAAAGAATGATTTGGCTTCTGAGTCACGTTTTACTCCATTGTCAAGGTTGTATATTATGAATGGAAAAAGTCACGTCCAGAGAAAATACGCAGTTGGTTTTGTTTCACAGAAAGCAGCGACACCTAAGACAACAGGAGGAAAGCTTTCATAACTGTCAGCGACATCTATATATATATATATCCAGGTTTTGATTATAAAACTACCAGAAATTTGTACTTCACGTCTGATTTTCCTCATTTTTCTGTGAATGTTCAGGTTTTTATTTAAAGAATTCAAAGTGTTTGTTCACCTTGAATTTGATTTCCGCGGAAATTATCCTGCTGATGCCTTCGCGGTCGCATAACGGAGCAGCTTCGGTTTTCTTTTCCGTTTCATTTTTATTTATTTTATTTTTCTATATTTTCCGGTCATAAAAAGGCAGTCAATCCAACACGCAAACACGTCCTGGGAATGTTTGCTTTCGCAGGATGGAGTTTTATGGCGAAAATAAAAAGGAAAAGCATTATCTCATACTACTACAGGAGAAGTTCCCAGAAGTATTTGGGACACTCGACTATTTTCTTTTTGCTGAAAACACACTAAAATTTCTTGGAACATTACATGTTTTTGAGGAAAAGTTGTGCTGAAGAGTTCCGCGGATCTTGAATTGAAAAATGGCAATTTTTTTATTATTTTGGAATCAATTGTCTCACTGCTGAAGGGGAATTCCATTTCTATATTCCACGCTATAATTATTGTACAGTATAACAATTGATTTATTCATGGTTTATAATCTTAAAGAGAAAAGTCTATTTTTTCAAGGAGAAAAAGATAATGCGAAAGCGGATTAAAGTTTCCCTGTGGACAACAATAAATTACTGGGATGGGGAAAACCCAAGATTATAAGAAGGCATGGAAAAGCTTTAATTGAAGTTGAATAAAAGACGGATTTTCCCCCAAAATAGTATTGGCACAACATAATGAAACAAATTCCGCCTTTGAATTTGGATGCAGCACTAAAATATTGGCTGAATTTTAATTATTATTCACATGCAGATTTTAAGAAATTTTTTTACCTTCAAACCATCACCACTGATTTTCAATAGCAATAACTAAAGGAAAACTAAGATTTAACTTAATTTTTTTTATGATGAGCTATTTTATATTAAAAAAAAAAAATTTGAACACTGCAGCAGGTAAAAATTAGATCACTTGAGGTTTTTGAAAAAATTATGACATGAAACCTGTGTTTCCAGCAAAAAGGAAAAAAGTCACAGAAGAAATGTTCTGTTTGGAGGGAAAAAAAGCAGGTTTTTTTACATCCTGCATAATTGTAAATTTTACTTCATTTCCATACTCTGAGAATTCCAAACTTAGATTTCTTCAAGATGAAAGTATTTGCACATTTACAAATTTTGCTATAAAAAATGTGGGTGTCTGGTAGTAAAAAAAAGTTGAAAATTTGTCAATATTATGAAATGATTGGTTTTGATTCTCATATTACTGAACTTGGAAACCTGAATTTCCCAAAAAATTTAGCCGTACGTGTTGTCTTCAAAACTTTAGAAGATGAAGCGATTTTCTCTGTAAAAAATAACTTCAATTCGTTTTTGTCAAGTTTCACTTTTTGAACTTGAATTTACAAAAAATAATTATTAGACATGCATCGTTTTTTTTGGAAAATAAGTCAACACCCCTTATCAGGGCAATTTTTGCCAAAATAACTAAAAAATGCTACTCAAAACTGTCAAGTCCAAACTTTCAATTTGAAAAAAAAGAATGCACAGAATAACTGTCAAAAACCTGAAAACTGAGGCATTTTTTAGTCCAGTACAAAGAATTCAAACCTTCTGTCAGTATATAATCAAATCATATCTTCCTGTACCACAACTTGTAGGAAATACTTTTCCAGACATGTGTACTTATTGGGAAGAATTTATTCTGACAACTCCTGTTTTAGGGAATTTAAGATAACATCATTCTGTCACATACTCAATCACCTATAAATAAAAGTCAAGTTTTACCCTGTGAACTCTAAATTTGGATTCCTGAATAAACAGAGATTGTAAAAATGCTGAAGATTGAGGTTGCTTTTCTTTTTAAAAATAACCTCAACACTCTGGAATTGTCTCACTTCCATGTACAAGTGCCTGGTTAATATCATCCTTTTTTAATTTATTAAAAAAAAAATACACACATAAAATAAGGTTCTTATCAAATTGTGAGGACTGCAGGGAATTTCATGCATCAACAACTGCAACAATTGTTTTTCTTTCAATATCAGTCACATGTGGGTATGAATGTCAAGTTTAATCCTGTATTTGACCACCATTTACAAAAAAAAAAAACTGTCAAGGTTCACACTGTGAACTCAAAATATTCAAGTTTTTGCATTTATAGTCCCAAGAAAAGAGTTAATGGTGAGGATAATATAGAGAAAAAGGGGGGAAAAACAGTGCTTTCCTTTGGCCTTGGGGAACAACTATTACATTGTGCACTGGTCCATCATAAAACCAGGTGCCTTTGCTCAGCCATGCATTGAGATTGCATTAGATGTCACACATATAAAGGGATGGGGCTCTTTACAAAGTTCCCTCATACAGCAAACTCACACAGAAAAGAAGCTCATGGAATTTTCTAGAAGCATCAGAGGCCTACAGATATAAATTGTGTTAACATTCTTGTTCATCATGAGCTTCAGTTGGAATTCCAAAAATGCCTCAAGGTTTAAGTTTTTGTTGTTGTTGAAGAATGAGGAACAATGTTGATTTAAGAATTGAACTTTGGTGTAAATCCAACTTGTCTCATTTTTATTTCCTTTTCCTCTTTATTATTATTATACACTCTGGAATCCCAGCCCCCAGTAATTTGGTCTGATGACAAGTATTTCCTCACTCCCCACCAAACCGGAATCCTGAAGGCAAACCAGTATTTTTTTTTAAATCATGGTTCCAGTGAACAACCTTTGGCGGGGAATTGATTGATTCAAGCATCCTGTGAAGCAGGTTGCTGCTTCCTAAATAACTGTCTCGGAGAAAAGCCCCCATGTGGAATGAGTCCAAGAGTTCAGGAGAATACCAAAGAGTTGAGCCATAAAAAGCCGGTCTGCAAAACCAGAGGTCACTCTTTTCCTCACAACAAATGAGTCATACAATTCTGGAAAAAATGGGATTGAGTCATTCTAAAGTCACTCATATCCTGGAAATTTAAAATGCACGTTTTCCCCCATAAAAATAAATGAGTGAACCATTTCAAAAGATCTTTCAAAACTCCATGCATAAAATAATCAAACAACTAGAGGTTGCTCTCATCATCCTCAAAACCAGTATTCCACGCCAACTATTTGCAATATCACAACTCAGCTTCAAAGTCACTAAATGAAGCTATTAAAGGCTAATTTGTATCTCTGAGGAAAAAGGATGCATTCAGTAGTTTTTGTTCAAGAATGCACTCAATGAAGACAATATGATATACATTTCTTTTTTTATGAGATTCCTCAAAGACCAGAGTTTGATCTCATCTTCAAAGTATATACTTATAATAAAATTCCGGATTAGTTTAGTCATGAAAACAATCAAAAACCATTAGAGCCCTCTTTCATCTTTAAATCTTCAAATGAAATAGGATTCATGTACCTTTCAGAAAAAAGTACTCAAGATTTGGGCAAATTTAGTATAATGGCACTCATTCTAAACAGTGAGACCAACTTTAACTACCTTCTTAAAGATTGGTTGAGTTCAGGATATAAAGCATAATATAAGAATACCTCCAGAGGTCGCTCCTTCAAAACCTGAGCAAATACATTCATTATATTCAAAAATATAGCCCTGAATAATCCCATTTTTACAACAGAGGTCACTTACTTGCTCCCATTAGAATGAGTTATTGAATTATATAAAATATTCAGAAATTGTACCTTTCCAAAGCCATTCATTTTGAAATGAAATATGCAAACACTAAATAAAACGAATGAATGAATGAACAGAACACTTTATTTGCCGCTTTTCAGCATTCACAAGGCACAACCAAGACTGCCGCATCCAAACCCCATCCAAACCCAACCCAACTCCCCCCAAAGACATTCAATAACTTCAAAGCATGAAACAAAGGACAGACCAATGACAAAACAAAAGAGAGAACACACTACACAAAATAAAACTGGACATCCAACACATATATACATACACCCACCCATCCTAATTTTTTATCTAATCTGTTTGATAAACCTGGCCACCTGTATATATTACCTTCATCACAAAAATTTTACCTGGTAAATGAAAAAACATGACCAAAAGAATATTTGGGTGAATTAAACTTCTTCGTGAGGTCCACCCATCAATTTCTTCAACATATGTTGCAACACCACCAGAACTGTGTCCCGTTTTGCTTATTTTCTTGCTGGGGATGCAGTAGGCTTTATATCCTTGGTACTCTTTGACTTCTTGTGCATGAGTTTCTTGAATGCACGCCACATCAAATTTCCTCAACCAAGGGAACTTAATTTTTCTTGGAGAGTTACAGTTCCATGTTGCAATCTTCATATTTACTATATA